TAGGGTTTAGATGCCTTAAGTCCTAACAATTACAGAAGCTAAGCAACACTTCCCCCTAAGCATCAACCATTAAGTGTTACTGCCGCGAAGCAATGATGTTCTCCATGCTATGGCAGATACCCACATGTGGTGGGTGTATTGTGTTTCATTAGAGCAGCCGACGGTAGGCCACCTTTCTTAGGATTGTGAATTATCCAGATAGCGGAAAGTTCAAGACGCCAACGCTTCTTCGCGTTGCTCCTTTGGCTGGCACAGTACTGTTTGCACGAGTTCGTAGTCCAACAAATAGTCACAAACTATCACAGCCAACACCAAAACTATCTGGCCCAACATACTGAAAAATGAGCTTTCCAAGTTCGGCTTAACAAGGAAGCCCGTTTGCACAAGGGTTGTGCAACTTTCACGTGCTAAGCCCTCAGTCCTTGGACCGTATACCACCAACTTCAGTGGTAATGCTTTTCTCGCTCTAAGCCGCCATGGCTTTGGCGGACGCGCAGCTTGTCGAAAAGGAGGCCGGTGCAAGACTTGCATTTCCAAATAGCGATACTGTGATCCACGATGCAGGGCATCCCTTAATTTTGCGTGCGGCTGGACAGCTTTATAAGGAGAATATCCTTACTTGCCGCAATTTTTCATAGGGATGTTGCTATGTTGGCCCGTTGTTCAACGGCAAAATGTTCTCATCTACTTGCTGAGGCCCTGACCCCGTAGCCCCATAAGTAACATCGAGGCCTGGGTATTTAGCAAAAAGACCTCCTTGTATCCTAACTTTTGCAGCCATGTGGCGAGAAACCAAAAAATCTGCGCAACAAGAACAAAGCCCTGAACCCAAAACCCTAAATCCTAGCTCATTCTTGAGGTTTAGTTTAGGGGTTTCAGGGCTTGGGGTCCCAAATCCTTCCTACACGCCCAGAGCAAGGAAGTAGGCAGGTGGTTTTGAAGATGTGAAGTCAGGGGCAAGGCGTGAAAGCTACGGGGAGCCATAGTAAATTTAAATGCTACGTGGTACTGAGCCTTTGTAATCCTGGCCCCCGATCTCTGCAGAGGTATAGCAACTGGAGTAATCCGAGCACTTGTTATACTAAAGGGTTCACATTTACAGCATTTTTTTGCGGCAAAATTAGCGTCCCAAGCCTAGCTACAATTAGGTGGCTTTCGTATGGGGATAAGGGACTACATTTAAAGAAGTTTTCTGGGGAGCATCGACTGCGCTGCCCGCAGCCGTGGCTAAAGCAAGCCGCGTCTGTGCCGCGCCTGCAGCCCCCAACGCCGCCCCCGCCTCGCCGGCGCTGAGCCGGAGGGGAAGAAGCCAGTGCCTGGCGACTGGCACAGAAAAAGCGAGAGCCCGGTCTCCATAGTACCGACCCCATGTCGTTCCCTGGTGCAGTTACAGTACTGCTGATAGTATCTGTGATATCTACGTGGACCACAAGTTCCGCGTGGCCATGCAAGTGTCCAGGAGCCACGCCTAGCTTGAGTACTTGAAAGAGCTCCAAACCCGAGTGTGTTCCGGCCTGCAAGGATTTCCCACCAGATTGTTGTTGAGCCCATTCCGGTTATAGAGATATTCAATACATTCCTATTCATTTTTTAATTTATTCAGGTCCAAGAGCCCCGATGACGCAGTAATGCATTCCTGTTCTTTTTAAATTGAGTTCCAGGAGCCCCTATCATTCTTTTAATCGGGCGCCCTGAATTCCTTATTCTGGTGGGGGAGGTTCCCCCCAAATTAAACAAGTGCTAGGATTAAGTAGAACCAACACAGTACTGGGAATTCCAGTATTTTCGGGAACCAGTAAATTCCCAAAGCCATTACAGTCTACAGCAGGTTCAGCAGTTACTAGGCAAGTTATACCGACGTCGCCTTAGTTCGTGGGGTACTTTGAAAGTTATACTTCTAAATTGGCTTCATTTGAGTTTCTGAAATTTCCATAAATGGCCTGTGGATCCTACCCCTACTTCGCATCCTTAACCCTATGCCCTAAAGTACGCCTAGAGTGGGGTTTAGGGTTTAGGGCCAGCATTTAAGAAGCTCAAAGCGTTCGACGGAACATTTGCCAAACCAGGCATGGAGTAAGCGTGAAAGGTCTTTTTTTGGAAGACCCTATAAGGTCCGGGAGGGGGAAGGGGGGGGTGGATGATATTTTCGGGGCCTATTTTGGGCTGCAAATGTGATAGAAACTACTTTTAGGAGCTTCTAAGGGCTTTGCTAGAAGCATCTTTGTGCAGCATTCCGACAATTCTTGGAAAACAAGAAATAATCTAGCCTCACATGGGGGACTGAGAGGCAAAAATGTCACTTTAATTGCCGGTGCTGAAGGGGGAGGGGGGGGGGAACGAATATATAGTCCCTCTTTTGTAGATAGAATATGGGGTATATGGGGATCTTATTATAACATACCCAAAGCCATAGTCTATCTACTTCAGGCGGACTATAGGTTTTAGGGTTGAGGGATGGGATCATGAATGGGTTTGTTAAAGGATCTAAGCCCTAAACCCTAAACCTTAAACCCTAAACTCTAAACCCTAAACCCTAAGCCCTAAACCCCAAACCCTAAACCTTAAACCCTAAACCCTAACCTCAGCTCACATTGCGCCTCCGGACACATGCAATCCTATTGATACCTAAAACCCTGCATGACCTTTGTATACTATACGGGCTTAGGGCTTTCTGTAGACTACCCCTAAACCCTAAACCGGTATAAACTACCATAATTCCCTGGGTAGGCCCCTCGGATATTTGATATTTTCCCTAATGGCCTTAATAAGGGACCCTAGATGCTAATATTGTTCAATGGGTTTTTGGAGCCAACCTAGTTCCCCAAGATATTTAGAAGTTGGTAAACGATTTTTCAGCATCAACCGTCCCACAGTTGCTGCCTTCAAACGACAGTTGAGTAGTATTCTATTTGGGGAAAATATGGTACCCAATATAGAGTTAGATTCTATCCTCCTTTTGGGGTATGGAAGAAATATTATCTTACTAGGTTCAACCACCAAAAAAAGACTACTCAGTTGAAAGCTGGCTTTTTTTCCGTGGGCTGGCGAGGTTGAGTTGGATATACGGGGCTTTCCAACATTGGGGTTTTTAGGGTTTGGGGTTTAGGGTCTGAAGTCCTTAAAGGGGGTTATTTAGGCGATTATATAGGGGACTACCATAGGGGTTATTAAGGGGGATACTAGGAGTTTTGACAATGGCTCATTTTGGGACACGATTTGGGGAGTTCCCAAAATTGGGGTCCCATTTTGGTAGCCCTAAATATTAGGGTGCCATAGTAGAATCTATATCCCAAAGGGGTCCAAAAACTTTGGGAACAACCCACCCTAAATCCTAAATAGTAGCTTCCATTTTCTTTGCCACTACCCGTATAAGACCCCTATACATCCCCGTAGTTTTGAGAACCGCTCATTCTAGGTCTTTCAGAGCGCGTCTTCAGACCCATTGAAATGTGAAGGTACCAAAGCATTAAGCAGAAAACTTCCATTTTTTACAGGTATATAGGGTTTAGGGGTTTCGGGTTATGGGTTTAGGGGTTTTAGGTTTTGGGTTTAGGGGTTTACGGTTTAGGAATATGCAATGGGTTTTTCTAGGTAAGGGTTAGGGTAGGGGTGGGATGATAGAGCGCCAAAAGCTAGGCCCCAGCAAGAGTAGAGGCTTTTGTGCTTAGCCTTTATAAGGTTTACTTGCAGGTTTCTTGGTACTTATGAGTTAGGTTAACATGGTTCGAACTAAGCTTCAAGGACTTCTAACCCCACTCATGACTATGCAGGGACTTTCAAGCGGTGTGAAGTTGGAGTTGGAGGTCGTACCTCAGACTCTGCCCCTTTTTCAAAGCGTCGCTTGAAGATCTAGGTTGAGGGCTTCAGATTTAGGGTTCAGGGCCTAGGGTTATGTAGGTAGTTCCCAGGATAAGGGTTCCACTAGTTAACCCCTAGATATTACCTGCCATATTTCGGTGCCGACCTATAACCCAAAGGCGCCCCCCTATTTTGAGAATGGCCCATGTGTGCCGCCGCCTTGCGGATCTATCCTGACCTGCGAATTTTGGAGGTTGACCGTCCCCGGCTGCTTTGAATTGTCCATATGGGGTTCCCCAAGATTAAAGGGAACTTTTTTTGGGTGTCCCATACTAACGATTGTCGTATTTTTGGGGTCCATATTTGGGTCCCCCTTTTTAGGGAAACTACCATATCAGCTCTTTGAAGGGAACATGTCGCGAATGTAGAGGGAGTGCGAGGCTCTGCGGTTTAGTCCCACGCCCTAAAACGTCATGCAGACAGCCCCTGATTAATCAACCCTCTCCCCTTAGTAGGGATCATAATAGGGATCCTAATATTAAGGCCCTTAAAAATTAATCATGGGTCTACGTTATGAATGGGATTTTGCTGACCCTGTTCGGGGCACTGGCTCTTTTACTGCTTTCTTGGGTCTCATCTCTAGCCCAGGACAGCAGTTTTTGGGACCGTGGCGGCAAAATTCGGGCTTCAATTTGCTAATATCGAAAAGAACTCACAAAAGCCTAAGGTGTCTGCAAGGCATATCCTTAAACCCTACTTACTCCCCCTATCCTACCTAGACCTAGATCCCTACAGTTTGCAAGCACTTGCCCAAAACCCATGGGTGCGAGTTTCCCACAATTAGGGGTACCCTTTGGGGTTGCTACCATAAAGATGGTAGTTGTTTGGAGTCTATATTATGATCCCCCTATTTTTGGGGAAGCTGCCACGAGCAGAGTCAAAAAGACCATTATTCCATATTCATTTTAGTCCGAGTACAAGCTAAGCATTCATCGCCCTGAGCGTCCAAGTACCCAATGGGAGTTGGGCCCCAACAATGACAACCTGATCTCTCACATTTGGGCACTTTGGCCCTTCTTGCCTCTATCAGCCTTACAACCCCGACAACCTTAACCCACATAACCATTAAGACCCATGTAACCCTTGACCCCCAGGGTTCGATTTTGCTGGACCGAATTTCAAAGTGTGGGACACTGCAACAGGCGGCGCACCGCCTCAACCTCAAGACTTACATCCCTTGCTTCTGGTCTCATACTAGGGGAATTGGGGTCTAGGATTGAGGGTTTATGACTGAGGGTTCAGGGTTTGCGGTACGTTGTACTATCTAGAGGTTACATAGGGAACGTGTTGGGATGCATAGTCAGAACGCGCGGGAAGGTTTTCCTCAGTCTGTCTCATTGGCGTTGTGGGGCTCCAGGTTTACGGGCTACCCAGGCGGTCTCATGAACAACCATCGGAAGATCCACAATTCGCTGTAAAACACAGATTTTGGGGAACATACTCTTCGTTTCCTGTTCCTCCGAACCCTGCGGGCTATCGACTATCATTCTGAAGGGATTAGGGCTTAGATATGTACCCTGAACTACACTAAACCCTAAACCCTGTCAAACCCTAAACCCTATCAACTGCCTGTCGGGATTCCCATGGTGTTGGACTGACTCCCTTCAAGCCCTAAGCCCGTGAATCCTCAGCGTTTAGGGTTTAGGGTCTAAGGGTTTAGGGCTGAGGCACCCTAGCCCTATAAACCCGGTGTTGTTAGGACATCCCCAGGAGTTTGGCCTTTGACCGCGTCGTGTAAGGGTTGAGGGTTCAGGGCTTAGGGTTCAGGGGGCTCTGGTGACCCAATCCCTACAACAAGGACTCTACAGGAGGGATATGAGTCATTGGCTCCTCTTTTTGGGGTAACCTGTGTCCACTTGTCATAGGAGGGTGTAGTGTGGTCTTAGCCATACCCAGCCATCCTTCTTACGGAAGCTGCGGACCCCTGAGCAGAGTTTTGATAAACATCGTTTGTAGAAGGAATGTCTTTCCAGCTTTTCTCACACTTCAGAAACTAGGGCTTACAAGCACCAACCACCTTGGGGCACCAACCATTTCTAATTTGCATTGGTGGACTGGAGGTTTAGGCTTTGGTGCTTTGGGGTCAGGATGTGGAGTTTAGGGTTTATGCATTCCAGTGCGGTGTTGGTATTTCAGGGTTCAGGGCCGGGCAGCTGTTGGATCACCACCATCCCCAGAATCATGCTTTTGAACCTCTGAGGCCATGATGTGGACTGCCAGGACCCTGGGGATGTACCCTCACACATATAACCCTAGACCCAGAACTCTAAAGTTCAACCTTCGCCCAAAGCCGAGTTTAGGGGTTTCAAGTGTAGGCTTTGCTGATGGCTCACACTCTGCATGGCCACAACTAAGAAGTTACCACAACTCGTAGATGAAAGGGTGCTGCAATCAACTGAGCAGCAAATTTCAAAAGGAGCGCTAAAGTCCGCAATGTATATAGGACCCTATACTCCTGTGGGTTATGGCATGTTACTGTATGTTAAACATAGTGGACGTGCGGAATAGGTGTTCTTTGGGCGAACCACTGCAAAAACACCCTCATGCAGGATGTAGTCCATACATATTTATGTGGCTGCCTGAAGTTAGGGTCCCTAAAAATGTGATCAACGTGTAGGGCCGGGAGCTTTTCCTCGAGACATCTAAAGTGAGACTGTAAGATCCCCCAACTACCCTTAGATAGGGTCTATATAGGTGCTTCTCGTGTAACTTAGGCTTAGGGTTAAGGGTTAAGGGTCAGTGTACTTGCGGGCGTTGCATTCTAGGTCTAGTGTCTCTGGCTACTGTGCGGTTCACGCTGTTAGCTTGACATAGGTTTCAATCATGATTCCTGTAGATGAAGGTCTAGGTTACCCCTACGGACTTGTTAATGGGAAGCCTCAGGAGTTTGCCCTACACCCTAAACCTTCAGGTTCTGTAAAGGCCCTCGATTTTGAGAGTGGGGAAGTGCAGGGCCCTGAACGTTAGCACTATCAGCCCCTGCAGGAGTACAACACCGTCGGCCAAGTGGCGGCTCTTTCGCCTTTGTAGGGTTTATAGGGTCTAAAAGCTCTGGGCTTAGCATTGCGGGCTTAAGGTTTAGTAGCATACTTGGGGGTGCATGGGCGCAAGTGGGGCTTTTTGATTGGGTTCACTAGGTTCAGGACCCCAATTCAGGGAACTTATAAGCGCACTTACAGCTACCCATGAGCCTTCAAGCAGGCGTCGTCGCATTCATGAGCTGGGGAGGACCTCACCCTAAGGGTCCAAGGACTCCACGGACCAGGTTTTAGGGCCCAAGTATTAAAACACTAATTGTTTTTGGGCCCTGAAACCTTATTATTTGGGTCCTATATACCCCCTATATAGCGCCCCATATATCCCCCCTACTATGACCCTTTTAAAGGGACCCTATCATTTGGGTCCTTGGACCCTTGGGGCATTGGAGGACCTCAGAGCTTTCTCCATAGTGAGGGTTGGTGAGCCACTGAAAGATTGCAGGAGGCAAAGGAAGGTACCTCCAGTTCTGACACTAAGGTCTGAAACTTGGGTAGGGTTTTGGGTTTATGGTTCCAGGCCCAGACTGGCCCGCAAGTTCCCCAGAAGAATTGCAAGGGTGTGCGGTCCTGGCAAGAGGCGTTCTCATCCCGGCGTCATCTCTATGCACCCGCTGTGGGTCCTCTGCCTTTGAACCCTAAACCCTGAATCCCAAATGCTGAGGGTCCAGGATTGAGTCAACATCTCGCTCCACAAAACTCCTTGGGACTTAGCTTGGACCTTAGACCCTTACCCCTTTAAGATCCCCTTATACTCCTGATATAGGTACCTAAGGGTTAACCTCTAGTAAGGGCCCTAAGTGCCACGTAGAAAAATCCTTTCAAATCTAAACCAGCTGAAGGCAGCCATTTACGGTGGCCACTTCTGCTGGAAGTCCATGGTGAAGGATTTCTATTCCCGTGGCGTGAACCAGTTCTCCTGTGCCCTTTGCTCAGCACGTGAAGACTGTAAGAAGATTTGCATAGTCCCTCCTTCCTCTAATATGTAGTTGCAACATGTTGCAACATGTTGGGAACCGTTATCATAAGGGGCCGGGCTATTTAATTGAGGAGAAAGTACGCTTTGATGACTACCTGCTAAGCTTTCATTATGGATTCCAGTAGCGTCAGGTCATAGGACGCTTGCACAAATAGCAGGAGGATAGGTGCCCAACCAACATAGTCATGGTGAGCCCGTTATAGTCATGGTGAGCCAGCTCATTATGCACCCATGCCTTCAATCCAAGTCCGCCGCGATTAGAAACACCATATAGGTTCATGGGATGTGGTTACTACTCTGGACTGGTTATAGAACCCTATTTACGATCCCCAACTGGACTTGTGAAAGCTACCCCAATTAGAAGTAGGGTTCTATGCCCAGCTACAAGTAGTTACTAAGTCAAGCAGTTGCTGCCATGACTACCCTCCCTACACATAAGCTTTAGTCCAAACTCCTAGTATTCCCCTTCATAACCCTTGTAGTAGTTCCCTATGTAATCCCTTATGTAACCCTTTTTAGGAGTTTAGACTAAAGCTCACATAGCCCCGAGTAGGTATTGCTCATAGACTTGAACCCCCAAAGTAGGTCAGTTGATAGACTTAGGTTTGTCATAGTGACCCAGTAGACCCTGACCCCGAAGCCCCAAATAGTAGTTTCCATTTTCTTTTTCATCATCCTATATAACCTTTATATATACCCTATAATCCTATATAACCCATTATAGTTCTTTCCATATTCTCTTCCAGTATCTTTGCATAACCCCTCTAAACCCCATTGAAGGTTGGTCTCGAATTTTGGTTTGAGACCACATGCTGTTTCAAGGTTGGGCCATCCCACCCCCATGCAGAAACTCCCATTAAAGGGTTTAGGTTTTAGGGTGTAGAGTTGTAGTACGTTACAAGTCATCCAAAAACATAGCAAGCCCAAAAGGGCACCACAGAGGAGCGCTGGGGTGAAGCTTGAAAGGCGTTGAAACTTGTAAGGGTTTGGATCTGCTGTGAAGGAAGGTTATTCTCTAAATTCTGGGCCCCGCGTGATTATTCATTATAGTACGGCACCTAAGAATCTAAGGGTATCACATTGTGGGAATTACCGATATTCGGGTCAGGAGTCAGTGGGGATGAGAACGCAGGTGCCAAGATATTTTCTGGGCTATAGTCTAAACTCCTCAAAGGGGGGTTATATGGGGGATTATTGTAGGGGCTATTACGGGGGATACTAGGAGTGAAGACAATGGCTCGTCTGGTTTCATTCGAAGCAGTATTGTAGTCGGTTGGCGCCGATTTTTCAGATGGCAGTTCCCCAAGAACTCAGGGCTCTAAAGCCTAACTTCAGCTTCTAAACCCTAAACCTCTAAACTCTAAACCCTGAGCCCCTAAACCCTACGGCTCCAAAGAGCAAGTAATGTATTCATAGACACAGTTAGGGTTTATCTATAGGGTTTAGGGTTCTTAGCCGCATTCAGGTCACCATCTTTCGCGATCCGGTGCCCCGCGTTCTGTCCTGCTACTCGTATCGCCTGGTCGGAAACTGGGCTGATTTGGTCAGTTTTTTTTGTAAACAGGGATTCCGTGCGGACCATAAGGATATGTTGGGATTTCAAGGAGTTTTATGGGTTTCTATAGGACGTGTTGTGTGTTGTTCTGAGATGCATCTATTTTTTTAGTAGTAGCAGTAGTGCTGTAACTATGATTACAAAACGTGTGACACACACGGACTCTTCTTTTTAAATCGTTGTTATTATTGAATAACACTAGGCTCTAGTTTTCGTCATATACCTACCTAGCCTAGAAGCAAAAAGAGTCTTCCAACATACGATGCGCAGGAAAGCTTGGATCTGCTCCTACGTGCAGCTGGGCCGGCTTTGAAGATTTATTTCAGGGTTTTAGGGTTTGGTGGGGTTCCCCGCCCCCCAATAACGCAGAATCAATTGGACAATAAAGTGGAACATGAAATGAAAAAACTTGGCTAGCTCTGGGGGCTTTATGTGGATAACTCACCCAAGGAGGCAAATTATGTTTTTGTGCTTGTTATGGTCTTTTGGTCAGGGAGTACAGCATACTACCCAAGACAACTGCATATGAGGGTCTGGGCACCCAGACCACCCAAACAAGCGAAGTGTAGAAACGGGCCCTGCGCGGACTATTTGGGAGTTGGCAGTTTTGTTACGGGTATTTGGGAGGTCTAGGTGTTAGGGGGGAGGTTGGGCTTAGGATTTTAGGGTTTCAGTCGTTTTCGGCATGTGGGCTCAGTTTTCTTCCTTTGTGCTTTTGTGTATGGGCTTGGAGGTGTTTGAGCTTCAAACCTCCAATTGCACGGGCAAACTTATGTCCTCACTCATATTTGGCCTGTTTAATAAGCTCAATGTGCATGCAGGAGGCTCGTATGTTTTGTCCCATGCCCTCAAATGGCGGTCAGAACTTCACAAATCCCTACCCATGAACCTCCAAGTGTGTTTCCTGGGCCTTGATAAAGAAGCTTGGCTTGTGGCGCACATGAGGCGTCGCTGATGTTCCACCTGCGCCTTGGATGCCAAGGTTTAAATATGTAGGGTTTATATATGCAGGGTTTATATAGGGTGTTCTTGATCATTGCTTGGGCTGTAGTACCACAGACACACACCCATAGAGTTTTGCATCTCACAAAAAAGAAGTCAGTACTCCCGGCCTGTGTCTCAGCTTCTAGCTAGGACCCCTGACCCTGGAAGCAACCTCCCTGCCTTGACGAAGGGGACGAAGGCTAGGACGGACGACCACCATCATAAACACATAGAAGTACCAGGCTAGGTAGCCTGAACCCTGAATAGCTCACTGGTTTGGGTTGGAGATTGGGGAAAGAATCCCTATGCTTTAAATGGAATCACATATATGTATATATATATATGACGTGTGTATATTCACATAATGATGAAAAGGTTCCATACATGAAAAGCGGGGGGTTAACACTCAACTATGATATCAAAGCTTCAGAACAAGGACCATCATAATTCGATGGGCAAGCAACTGCCGCCATCGCTACCGCCAACACTGACACCGCCACCACCACTGCCAGTCACGCAAGCAAGACTATTATCATCACTGCTATCCGTATTTTCACCAGAACTACTATTAATGCTACTATTACTCGTATTACTAGATCAGCCAAGGAACAGCTCAAGAGTGAGCTTCAGGGTCACGCCTGCGTTGATGAGCCCTTCCGCAGGTGAAGAGGGTCCAGCATAGCCCAGATTGTCTTCCCAGACTCCTCGGAGGATTACTAAGATATGAGACGCGGGGGGGGTACACTTTCCACATCCTCCCAGGCTCCCAGGCGTCTGGTTCTAGATAATATTTCTGGCCGTCAGGGTTCAGGATTCAAGAGTTAGGCTTTGGAGATCGAACCTTCAAACATGAACGACCCTAAGGGTCCAAGAAGCTAACTGTTGGGGTGTTAGGTGCCAGAGACCATCCAGATTGATATAAGATTATGTGGGACATGGCGCCCCGTTGCTTGGGTACTTGGACCTTAGAGTGTCGCATTACATCCGTTGAGCCTGGCTTAAGTGTTTCCTGTGTTCAGGACAGGTCAAAACACAAAGCGGCAACTTCCCGGGAATAGGAATGCTTGTTTCGACCAAGCATAACCTGGCTGCTTTACCCTGCAAAGTCAGCAGCCTCAGGAGTAAGTATATTAGTTGTAGGCTGGTTTGGCTTACAAAGGGTGAGGGTGACATTTGGGTTGCTGGAAGGTTCATGGATAGTCATATCTGGCTTCATATGTGTGACTTCCCCTACTTTGGGCGTGTCAAAGCTGTTCAAGTGGAAGCCCAATCCATATTTACAACAAGCCATGAACTTCTAGATCGATTCTGTTCTTGCGAATTGGGTACGCAGTGCACAGGAGTTTTAGCCTTTATACTTCCAAACTTGACAAGTGGCATGAGTTGTGTAGGACCTTCGGGGAAGGGGGGTCACCAGACATGAATGTATGTGTAGATATCTATATACATATATGGCTTATTCTCAAGATTATGGGCCCCTTTGAGTTAAAGATTACATATTACAGCACCTAATATTAAGAGAATATTTAGGGGTACCAAACAGGGACCCTAATTTTGGGAACTACTCGCATATACATATATATATATATGTATATATATATATGCAGACTGATGAAATTCAGATATGTTTAGCGGCAGCGATTGTCTAGCAAGCCCTACCGATACTAGCACAGGTTGCCGAGTCTCGGGTTTAGGGTTTAGGGTCATATATATATATCAATATACATATATATATATGTGTATATATATATATATGTATGTACAGTCCCCCTTAGGTAGATAGAATATGGCTTCGGGTATATGATAGTATGATCCCCATATACCCCATATTCTATCTACTTAAGGGCGATTTTTGGGGCTTCTTCGGAACTGTTGACCATCAAGGCTCGGTTGTTTCAGGGATGATACCCAAGGTCCTTTCCCAGAGAGCCCAATACACCTTAGCTACAAATTAGCGAATATACCTTGAATGATACGGGGATCCTTAACAGGATTTAAGACATATTCCTCATTTCAGGGATAGTGGGCTTCCTGGGTTAAGGCCCTAGCTCTTGCACAATCTGTGCCGGACAGGATTGGCGATTGCAACGCAGCGGGTGAGATCGAGCATTTCCATACCGACCAGGCCCCGAGAAAGCAACGGGGGTCTTGTGTTCTATATGTGGTTCATACCACGAAATGACCTGGGCGTACAGGGAGACAAAGCCGTAGACGTTGCGCAACATGGCACTCCATTCGGGAACTTATGGGACTGAGTAATTAAGTACAACAACTATGTCCATAGCAGACACACTAACCCCACTTACCTCCAGTGAAGCCTGCGTACGAAGCACCCTTGACCGGGTCTCAGTAACCCTAAGCCCTAAACCCGGAAGCCCTGAACCCTAAACCCTAAAGCATTCCCTGCCTCTTTTTGGTTGGGGCCTGGGGACGCAGAAAAGTATGATCCAAAGGGTCCATGTGGGTATATATGTTATATAGTATAGTGTTTGGGATTTAGGGTTTAGGGTTTCGGGTGTAGACTAGGTATATGTTATTAGGGCTCAAAGGGGGTCCCACATACCTATTCTAAGGCCTAAGAATATACCATATAGCTACATGGACCTTTAGGGTAAGGAGCATGTATGGAGGATGATGACATGGACATTCGTGCGATTAGCAGTAATTCGCAGAGAAGGTTTGGTTCACTTAGTGGTCATACTTGGAGATTCAAGGGAAGTATGTTAAGAATCTTACAGGCCATAATCAGCTATGCGCAATTATCCCCAACATTTACCTGCTTGCTGAACTAAGCCCACTGCCCTCCGAGTACTGGATTTCATGGGGGAGGATGCGGGGGCTAGGGGAGGGAAGGTGTAGCAGCTCATGAAACCACCCGATTCATATGAGGAATCCTCGTAGGATCATTTACCCTAAACCCAAAACCCTACATCTTAAACCCTGAACGGCGTGCCTGTCTTCCAAGTCCTGGGGTAGGAGGACTACCATGAGTGGAGTTTAGATTCAACACAAGAATGTCGCGATGGGATTGAGGCAAAAGCTCCGCTCTTAAAGTAGAAGGAGGTGATGGACGTCCAGAGACTTTAAAGCAAAGGGGCCAAGTCCTGAAGAATGGATTTAGATCCCAAATGCTAGAATCTGAAGGTTTCTGGCACCCCATTCCCTAGCACTTTGGATACTTTGGCCCCTTTGAAGGCATGTCCCAGATGCTCAGGCTTCGTGGTTCCTACGTTCCATGCCCTGGAGATGCAGGGAAATAGTACATAGAAGACTGCAAGACTTTCCAGCGTAACACACTAACCGGAAGCCCAGATTTGTTCTACCTGTTTAAAAATGTAGATATACTATCCCCATGTAATCCCTATCTAGTACATTCCCTCATTCCCTATATCATCCCAATGCATCACTCAGTTTTTTGAAGCCTGAAGGCCACCAAAGTTCGTAGCGTAATCATGCTGCAGGGATAGAGTTAGGCGATTTTAAGCTTTGGAACCCTAAACCCTAAGCCCTAAACCCTAAACCCGTGGGAGAAGGCTCTGCCGGAAAAAGTATGAACCTGACACTCTATCACCTGCAGCTGGGATAGATTCGGGAGTACCAAGTATGTAGCATAATGGCCTCTTGAGCCTTTTTTGGGGGGGCTTGTGGGCTATGTTTTTGCCTACTTTTGGGTTTTCCAGCTATATGCTGCATACGATGTGCGAGGATAAGCACGTTCTGTACGTTTGATTTGCTTTGATCTGCCTACAAAGGCGCAGAATAGACGAGAATGATGGGTGTTTACTAAAGTACTATGATCCTTATTCTGCGAACCGCCAACAAGCCCCATGAACCTCCCAACAGTACACCCAACATAAACGTGGTAATATTTCAATGCTCATCATGCGGACCCCCAGAAATTCGCGCTTCATCTGGATCAATGTCAGGGATCCTTTGTAGTTTTGGGGTTATGGAAGTCTTTATATTTATGTGAAAGGATCCCTTTTTTATCCCAGGGTAACGTGGGCTAAGTCAATTTAGACAACCTCCAAGTGTGCTGCTGCCAGGAGCATGTGCAGGGTTGGAGCCTGACACTCTCTCACCTGCCTCTGGGATATATTTACGGTTTAGGGGTTTAGGGTGAGACTTAAAAGTATTCAGAGTAATCGCCTCTTGGGCTTTTTGGGGTGCTTTGGGCTGCAGTTGTACCTGCTACGGGATTTCAAGTAAGGGTTTAGGGGTTTGGGGTTGAGGTTTTAGGTGTCTAGGGTTTTTGCGTTTAGGTGTTCATTATAATTATTCAGGGGTTTCGTGGATCATTTTGAGTTTTGAAAATCTAAATTGTGACCTTACGCAATTCGCAAAATAGGGGAAGTGAGAGTCGGGACGTAGAACACTGTAATTGTAATGCTTAGTTCATCTTGAGCGTTTAGGGTTTGGGGTTTTGAAATTCATGTCCTAAAACCTCTATTTTTAATGGATTCCTCGCCACCTCCCAAATTTCTAAAACCACCCTCCCAGATTCCCGCTTAATTCGCCTAATGGGCTCAACTTACTGGGACCCTCAGAACCCTGCTTTGGGAACCCTCCATTTGAGGTTATTCTCAGGGGCCGATCTACCAGCAGTTGGGTATTTGGGATTTTGTGGACGGATCAATGTCGTATAGATTCTTGGAAGTTTGCGACTATTCTTGGCGTGGAACGTTAGGTTTTTTTGCGTTTCAAAATTAATCCGTGTACCATTCCGATTGACCTTTTGTATATGTATAGATCTACATATTGCTGAGCCCCTGCAGTTTGGGGTAGGCCTAAACCCTAAACCCTAAACCCCAAACCCTAAATCCTAAACCGCGTAGGTCCCAGTGCGTTCCGCTGATCATCGAGGAGCCGGAGTCGTACAAGGCCTGCCGGTTGCTGTAGGGCTTAGGATGTTGTACTACAAATAGGGGTTTCCCAAAATTAGGGGTACCTTATTGGGGGTCCCCATACTCTTTAGGGTTTAGGGTTTAGGGTTTAGGGTTGGGGGTTTCCCAAAATTAGGGGTACCTTATTGGGGGTCCACATGATAAGGACTATAGTATATTGGGGGTCTATATTGGGGTCCCCTGTGATCTAGGAGTTTGAAAGTTTTAAGGACCACGCTGTTGGACACATAAAGGTTTGAGTATTAAAGGGTGAAATAAAGGTAGAGGATTTCTGGGCACAGGCTTTGCTTCAGCTTTTGGGCATAAGGGTTTTGGGGTGAGGGGCATGGGACCTTGAGTATGGGCTGGTACCGTACATGCGGGCTCTTCATGGCCAGAAACGGATCCCTCATGTTGAGATACAAACATGTGGGTTTCCAGGATTCGGGGTGCTACCCCCAAAGTCCCCTAAATCCTCTAAACGCCCCAACCCCCAAACGCCCAACCTAAGCCCTACAGCCTGAACCCCTAAACTGTAAACCTTAATCCCGCACAGCCTAAACCCTAAACCCCTAACCGCCTAAACCCCTAACCCCTTAAACCCCTAAACCCTAAACCCCTAAACTCTAAACTCCTAAACTCTAACCTCCTAAACCCCCAAACCGCCTGAACCCCTAAACCTTCAGAGGTGGCAGCTGCGGCGTTCCCCCAGCTAGCAGAAGCCTTCCTGGATCTCGGAAAGGTCAAGCTGAACAAGAGGCTTTAGCTGCAAACCATAGTATTTCGGATTCGTCATGGGTGTAGGATGATAGATTTAGTATCACGGGTTTAGGATGGAGGTTTAGGGTTCAGGATTAAGACTTTATGGTTTGGAGTTTAGGGTCTATCGGGCGTAGGGTTTAGGATTAGGGGTTTAGGGTTTGGGATTAAGGGCTTAGGATTAAGGGTTTAGGAATAGGAATAAGCGCTTAGGATTATATGAGAATTTAGGATTTAGGGTTTAGGTTCAGGGGAGGGCAGGAGACAGGCTTTTGCCTTTGGGTTCTGGGCTGAGGGTCTTGGCACGGGACTTGGGTTTTAAGGAGTTTGCCTTGCGATTTGCTGGACACTTGTTATGTGAGGAGTATGGTATCAGACGGTTTAGGGCTTAAGCTTTTTACTAGTAGGAGATTTCGGCTTAGGTGTGGCTATTCGCACGACGTGAGTTTTGCCTAGGGTGCAAGGTCCCGTTGAAACAAGGGATCATAATTTGGACACATGACTAAAATCTCGCTCTCGCTAGGTACATAGGGGAAGCACAACTTCCTGTAAGTATCAATCACTCTCACGGCCCCTTTTGTGAAGTAAGGTGGCTCTCGGTATGGAGATTCTGCTCATGCCTACTTACTCCACTCGTACCCCTGTTGCTTTCTCCAAAGGCATGTCAGCATTGTGGTCTATGGTTGTACCCCAACAAGGAAGCTCGTGCAACCGTAGTGTTTCCCCTTAATACTATATAGCATTACCCTAAGGGTCCAAGGACCCAAATAATAGGGTTTTAGGGCCCAAATACTATACCATTAATGGTATTTGGGACCTAAAACCCTATTATTTGGGTCCTTGGACCCTTGGGGTTATTTTTTCCCCAGGAATAAGGAGTACGACGAGCACTGCCATCCAACGCAAGCACATCTGCGGGCCGTTCGCGCAGTCACTTCGCAAGAGTCCAGGCGCACACGCTGTGCTGCAGAGGTTTCCCAGAGGGTCCAAGTACCCAATGATTAGGTACTCGGGTTTTGGGTAATAGTAATTATAGTGCAGGTTTTGGGTAAGTATATGATTATTGGGTACTTGGATCCTTAGGGTTTTGGGATCAAGAAGTTGTTGTTCAAGCGTGCTTCAGGGCCCCAAGGCACCCCCGTGGACTCCTAGGGTCCCTCTTGCTTGGGTCCTCATGAAAGGTAGCTACGCGCATGTTGTGGGAAGCCAGAAAGACTATGTTGAATTTGTTTTTTCAAAGGCATGCAGTTTCAGCAGTCTTTCGGAGAAGGGCTTAATTGCAGCAACCTTGCTTGATGAAATTCTTGTGTTGCATACCTTGCTTCGTGGAAGCTGCCTGCAACGCGACAGGGGTTCGAAAACACACCAAAAGCAAAAAATCATGAAAGCCTTACCCAAGGGGTCCCCACGGGGTCCGTGCAGTTCTAGTTTATATACTTCAGCCCCAATTAGTTTTATGGGAGCCCCTAAGGGACCATCAGCAACCTCTGTAACCCTGAGCACAGTTTACAGCTTAAGGTTTCAATCCATACTTTGAGGTTCATGGGCAGCTTTCATCCAGACATCTGTGGTTTTGACTCGTCTTAGGGGGCTTGTTTTTCGCATGTATGACGAGCTGGACCTCATCAGTAGGTATGTAAACCCTGGCCCAAAAGCCACAAAGATAATCAAAAGGATGTACACCCTAAACCCTACACCCTAACCCTAAATCCTAAACCTCCTAAAGCCGCATTGCAGGATCTACAAGGCCGCAAGGAAGCGCATGTGGCAATTGCACAGGCTCCTTGTGAAGTGATGGCTGGGTGCCAAATAGCCCCCGTGTAGCTAGGGTTTAGGGATTTGTGTTTAGGGTTCGGGCAGCTAAGTGGGCAAATTGCAAACCTTTTGCAAAGTGCCCCCAAACACCTGCAGGGGCATTCGGAGCTATTTGGTAGCTGTTTTCTGGCCAAAAGGCCTTGCCGAAGGCAGAACTTTTCAAACCACAGACGCTGAGACTGCGGGTAAAGCAAAACTGCTGCTGGAATATTCTCTGCACGTTTAGGGTTTAGGGTTCTTTCTAAACCCCCAAACCTAAACCCTAAAACCTTATAAGCTGCTTCTATGGAGAAATCACAGAAGGGAGCATGCCTGGTGTCATCTGAGCTATAGTCTAAACGCCGGATGGGGGGCTATGTAGGGGATTGTATAGGGAGTATGATAGGGGTTATTAGGGGGTATACTAATAGTTTAGAGTATAGCTCATGTAGTCCCTTGAAACGGCCAAGATACCAACATGGGTACCTTGGTCACTACCTTAACCTCAAAAGTATGTAGAAAGATTGCCTTTTGGGCTCTTTCAAGGTTGGCGTTTTGTTTTACCTATTGATTTCGGGTCCAGGTAGGGTTTTGGGCAGCGAAGGTACACCACGCTCAAAGCTCTCCCGCTTTCTCTCCCTGTCGACCTTGATGCGAGTCTCCAAACAACCGGGGCGACCCATTTTCGGGTCTGCATTACGTGGAGGCCTCCGTTCATAGAAGTCCCCAAATGATTGAAGAGCAAAAGTAGTCGCCTAAGAGTACCCCAGCCACCCAGACTTATTAAGCCCTACATCGTCCTTATTGGCTCCTGAAGCCCTGGGGAGTGCACGTTTGTGGGGCCATGGTCTTTCAATCCCTCAAGACTGCAGCGCAATTCAAGATCTGGCCCCGAGCAACAACAAGAACGCAGTGGCCCGTAGAAGGTGGGTTTTAAGGCGGTTTAGGGTTGATAGTGTTTAGGATTTAGGGTTTATGATGGTATGCCCCACAGTATCCATGTACCCAACGATTGGGTACTTCTGGCCCACTAGGCATAAGATAGTATACCCTGTATAACTGTCTAAGAATCCCCCTTTGATAGTCCCTCCAGATTGAAGCTGCTACTACCTCAGGGCCCAAACCCCCTCACATTAGGATCTTAGTATGATTCAAGGTATACTCCTAGTTAAGAGGGCCCAAAACCCCTTAAGGAAGGAATGTTAGGGATCTTAGTATGATTTAAGCTAAGATATATTCTCTAATGTAGCAGTATGGGACAACCCTAGACCCTAAACCCTAAACCTCTAATGTAGCAGTATGGGACTCCTTGGGCTTGCCATGCTCATGAGGAAATCTCTGCCCGCTCTCAGTATTCCCATGGCATGGCAGCTTGCTTGACTGTAGCCCATGAGGATCCTTCCCTATGTTTTCAAGGTCTAGAGTTTAGGGTTGGGGTTCCCAAAATGACGAACAACTCCTATTTGGGACAAACCAAATTCTGATCTGGCAATTGAGGTGCTCACTTCAGGATTCGACGTTCATTTCACATTCTGTGTGCTGGTGCTTGGTAGGGAATTTGGGGAATTGCTTCTGGTAAATAGTCCCGTGTTGGCCTGTTTTATATGATTACTATAGAATGGCCACCTGAATCACCTAAACCCTAAACACTGAACCATAACCTACATATCAAAACATCACCATGTCCATAAGCTACAGAATCGAACAATTCTGTCTGTGGCTCATATGAGCTATAGTTTAAACTCCTTAAAGGGGGCCATAAAGGGTTTAGGGCTATAAAGGGCTTAGGGTTTAGGGTCTAAACTCCTTAAAGGAGGGTTTTATAGGGGAGTAGTTTCGGGGTTATTGGGGGGATACTAGGAGTTTGCACTATAGCTCATTTGTTCTCGTGTTTTCAGGGAGATGCCTACAAGAATTCTTGAGCATGGTGATGATGGACCGCATTTGGCTCAAGTTTGAAAACTTTTTTGATCGCTTGTTCCCTTTCCGCGCTCAAGTATGCCGGAGTATCCGAGCTGCTTTTCAGGGTTTAGTGTTTATGGTCTAGGGTTTAGGGGGGAGCTGGTGCCTAGTAGAGAATAGAGGAATGGAGTACGGGCATATTTTGGGGGGCTTATGAAGGCTAGCAGGGACTATTGCAGGGATCCATTCCTCTGTTCTCTGTTGGGGTTTAAGGTTCGACCATCAGTGAGGCAAGATGAATCTTCGGTCCACTCATTGCATAAGTCCTTTCTAAGCTCTTGACTGCCTTGTTGTCCAGTGAGCTAGGGGCACTCGGCCTACCGAAAAACAAAGGTTGAACCCATACAGTCCCAGACATTTCCCTGCTAGGAGCCTGTGCCCATTAATTATATAGGGACTGTTGGCTGCAGTTCCTACGGGCCCCTAGCACCTCGTTACAGCGAGTCTCGAACTGTGTTTGTGTTGCCCCTGAAGCGCTCATATTGCTTGATGGATCTCATACCGGCTTCCGTGAGGCCTGGAAAGAAGTTGTGGGTTATAACCCTGAGGGTCCAAGGATCCAAATAGTAGGGTTTTAGAGCCCAAATACTATAGACTATAGTATTTAAAAAGGTTAGGATAGAAAGACAGAATGCAGGGAGGCATAGCAATATGCCGGGCAAGATGAAAAGATCAAAAGCCAGGACATGTTGTAGCCCCCTGGATCCGATCTATGTATTCTTTTATTTCGGGCGTGTATGGACCTCCCAAGAACCTCTAGCAATGGCACTTTTCCCTCAGTTATGGACTATGGGTGTTTGTGAAAGCGTATAGGTAGGGTTTGGGACATAGATCCGCAGCCATAACTTTGACAAAGTGATTAGAGTCTGCATGAAGCTTCGACCCGTGGCGAGTACTTCGGCCCCAACACCGATGTTGGAAAAGAGAAGCCCCCCGCTAGCCTAAATTGTAACAGGTGTTACTCAAAATTTGGGGTACTACCCTAGGGGTCCCCAATATGCTTGTGGTCTATAAAGGTATATGCCACGCCCCTACAGTAATAGCCTTTGAGGGTTTGGGGTTTAGGTACGAGGCCCCTAACACACCTAAAATAGTCCTTTGTGGTACCCATTTGTGGGTGGGGATTGATTCCAAGGTATTTGCCTCCTCCCCGGAGCGGGCAGATCAGCGGCGTGCCTCGATGTGCTATCATTTAAGTCGCCTCTTAATCCTGGGCAGGCCCCTGAAATATTTGATATTTTCTCTAATGGCTTTCATAAGGGACCCAATATACTAATATTTTTCAAAGGGCTTTAGGGGCCAACCCAGAATCTTGCAGGGTTTCGGGTTCAGGTGTCAGAAGGGGATGACGGAATGAAAAAGAGAATGGAAACTACGATATGAAGTCGCGCTTGAACTTCCCACTCCCAAGTTGTCAGTCGGGAACGAAGGAGTGGAAGGGGAACCAAAGACGACGACGTTCTCGGGAGCAGTAGGATAGAGGCGACGATGCAGATCCTTTTCTCGAGAGCCTACTAGGAATCAGCGGGTAATCTTGAACTGCAAGAACGCCAAAGACCCAGACCGTGGAACGTGGAAGCTACATAACTTTGGGCAAAACAGGCACTTAATTTTACGTTTTGCGTCTAGGGATTGGGCTCTCTCGGTTACCTGGACCCTCCAACTAATTGCCTACCAGGCTATTGAAATCCTTACTAGTAGGCACCTCGGTCTCACCAGAGGGTATTTCAGGGTTCTTGGCTTAACAGACTAAATAACTCATTCTTGAGAAGACGCTTTGAAAACCGAAAACCACGTCTTCTGCATATAGCTCCTGCAATGCGCTGCAGTATAAAAGAAGAGAGCAATATCCACATCCCCGAAAACACCATAAGGAAGCTGCTTTGCGCACCCCTGTAGATAGATCTTTCAGACTTGGGGCATATGGCAACCTGACAGTTTCTTTCCAATGTTCCCATATTCAGGGGGCTGACAAGGCGGGATGAAGGTAGGTGGGCTGAAGGATCCCCATTGTAGACGCCATTTTTCTTGGGGCTCATTTCCCAGAGTTTGTGGGAAGCTGGGGGTACTAAGGGTTGGGGAACCTATCTTTAAATGGAGGGTTGCAATGCTGTATTAAAGGGATTTCGATATTGCCGTGATTTAGATATCCCCTACTTCTCGCGTTTCTAAAAGTAGGCATCCGCCAGTTCCTTTCACAAACGGGAAAGTGCATGGAAGCTAACCAACTGGAAAGCCCAATCGAACGCCTCGCATCAAACAGGCTCTTCCATAATTATCCTGTACTCTTTCCTTGACATGAGCCATGATCTGCACTTTCTAAAGGGGGCTCTAGAAGGGATTCTATATGGGACTATTGAGGTTATGAAGGGGGATACTAGGAGTTTAGATCTGCCTTTCCCTGACGACTCTTGAAAAGGGTACTCCAAACCCTGTGTGTATGCCAATGCATGATTAACTGCCTTCACTAGCTACTGTAACACTATTCTTCTGACCTGTCGACACCCGATCGACTGTCTCACCTTCAAATGACCAAGACTTGCGTCCGTCCGACTAGAAGTTTAGACTATGACTCATTTGGAGAACCTCTTATTCTTGAGTGCCCCATCGATGGGGGTCAGATCGTTCTGCTCTCGAAAGCCTTTTCAGTGGTAAGCAGGGGATGATCTAATGAAGAAAGTGGGTGCAGCCCTAAACTTCAAACAATAAAACCCTAAAGCTTAAACAGCAGCTGTTACAGAGGTTATACATGGGTTACACTAAGGCTCCATTCCTCCACTTCGTAAACCCTAATCCCTACATAAGCTTCTGTCAACAATAGGCTTATTAAGAAGCCTTAACAAGGGACAGAGGGGTCCTTCTTGTAGTTTAGTATCCCGAATACAGTCCCTAATAGGCAACCCATTCCTATTAATTATCTGGGAACTGTTGACTGTAGTGCAACAATCATGCATGCAACAAGAAAGTTGAGGAAGTGCTGCGTTTCTACCTGAATGGAGAGCTAGTAGAAGTCGTTGGAGCTGACCCGCGGCAGATGCT